AAACTTAAAATTTTGAAATAATTAAAAGTTATTTTTAATAATAAAAAAAAAAAAAAAGTATTATATATATATTTAAATATTATTTTTATAAAATAAATCAGAAATAGAAAAAAGAAACTTTTTTTTTGTGTATTATTTACACTTTTAGTAACTATATGTTGCAGGCCTGCATAAAACTATATTTACAATTTTGTAAAAAGGAATCATTAATTATTTTACATATTTTTTATTATTTTTTTTTTTTTTTTATATACATAATTCATAAATAATAATAAGTGTTAAAACAAAATTAAGATAAATAATTGTTGATATTTATAAACAGAACAAAAAAATAAATTATCTTGGGGAAAAATATATGAAAAAGTAGACTTTATAATATATTAGAAATAATTGTTAATTTATTTTCATTATTAAAAAAAAAAAAATGAAGCATCAAAAAAACATAAACAGTAAGAAAAATATTATTATTGTTAAAAAAAAAAAAAAAAAAAAATTACATATAAACTGAAAGATTAAAAAAATTTTTAGTTCAATTAAATGAAAATACAGGATAATACAAAAATATAAAAAAGAAATACCTTTAGAATTTTATCTTTTTTTTTAAAAGAAAATTTAAAATTATCTTTTCATTTTAGAGCTTTATTAATTAAAAATATTTATGAATATAAATTAAAAAATTAAATAAAATAAAGGATATTAAGTAATGTTATGAAGCTTTCGTATTATAAAAATATATGGATATATAACAATATATTTACTAGTTTTTTTATGTCTTTATTAATTTTTTATAGATTATAATTATAACTATTATTTCTTATTATTTGATAATCAGTATAAAATTAAATTAATTATGGTGGTTTTTTGTTTTGCAAAATATACTTTGTTAAATTAACACATTTGTATTTTTTTTTTTTGTTTTTTATTATAAAAGTTAGTTTCTCAAATTCTCGATTGCAATAATTCTTTGCTTATTTCTATTTTATATGGATATAATAAAATTAAAATTCTATTTGATTAGTTTTTATAGATACCATTTACTTTTATAAATTCATGGTATCCTTGAATTTATTAAAACATTTATATGTTACATAATTCTCAATTTAAAAATTATTTCATTAATAAAAAAACTTTTAATTGCTTTTTTTTTTTTTTTTTTTAAAAAAAAAAATTTAAAAATTATTAAAAAAAAAAAAAAAAAAATGAAAAATATATATATTTATATATTTCCTAACAAATTATAAAAAGAATTAAAAAGAATAAAAGGTTTATAAACAAAAAAAAAAAAAAAAAAGGAAAATAGAAAATATATATACAATAAATTGAAAAATATTTAAATTTTTACAGTTTTTATTATATACATAAATAAAATAAGATATTATTATATAAAAATATTTAATTTTTCTAAAAATAGGAAAATATAATTTCGCCAATAAAAATTTATAAAGTTTTAAAAGTCACATAATTTCAAAAACTCATTGAAAAAATAAATTTTGTATAATTATTTAATGTAATTAAGAAGTAAAATATTTTTTAACCTTTTTTTTTTTTTTTTTTTTTTTATATTATTTTATGAATTCTCTTTCAATTCATAAAATGTTTTTGCTAAATATTTTCCTCTATCTTTTGCAAACTTAGCAAATGTCAATTGTTCCTAATTAAAAAAAATTGAAAATTTAATTATATTAAATTAATATATATATATATGTTTATATATATGTTTATTCTATTTTGTTTACTCTTAATATTTCTTTGCTTGAAATATGCAATGTTTTTATATTTTTAGAAAATTTTTTTTTCATTATTCCACTTAAAAGAAAAAAAAAAAGTAGAGTTGTGTTGATAATTAAATAAGAATTTTCCCCTAAAAAAAATAATAAAAAAAATAATAAAATAAATAATAAAATAATTTATATATATATTTAATATTATAAATAAAATTTTCATCTTACAATTATTTAGTAATATTCCTGTACTTTTGATATAATTATTATAAAAATTATTATACGAAACACTAAAATAGCTGTAAAAAAAAAAAAAAAAAAAAAAAAATACACATATATAGAAAGGGGGAAAAAAAAAAAAAAAAATTTACACCATTATATTTTCAAATATATTCAACAAATTATTATTTTGTTATACTTTATAAATAAATCTTTATAATTATTGTGAACTGAAAGTTGTGTAAATAAAAAAAAAAGGAAAAGAAAAAATAAAAATATTTGGATCATCGTGTGCTTAATTCCTGTATAAAAAAAAAAAAATAAAAAAAATAAAAATAAATAAAAAGAAAAATATATATTTATAAATATGTATATATGGTTAATAAATATAAAAATAAATAAATACTTTCTCTCTTCAAGGTTGTTTTGTGAATTCTTCTCTCACTGTCAGTTTTTAAAATATCTAAAATTTTGTTTATGATATTATCACAATCATTAATTAAACAGTAAAGATCTTTTTCTAGCTTTTTAAAAAATAGTTTTTTTATTTCATAAATTATATCATTAATTCTATTAACTATACATAAATCATTATTATTTTTTGCATTTTCAAATAAATATCGCCCATTTTTAGCCCCATATATATAAATAGGTAATAAGTCAATATTATTACGTATATTAATTTTACTAGCTAAACATTGAGTTGTTTGACATAATAATTTAATTCTATCCTCCTCTTGTTTTATTTCATCAATTTTAGAAAAAACAAAAACAATCTTTTCCATATGTTTTTCATAAATTTCTTTAATAATTAAAATTAATCTATTACTAAGTGATTTACCTGAAGAATCAAAAAAAACTAAAATAATATCAACGTAATCAGATAAATCATATATTATACTATTAATATCAAAATCCAATTTATTCATTATATCTTTTAAACCAGGAGTATCAATAAAATCAATATTTTTTGTTTCAATATTTTTACTAACATACATTTTTGTACATAAATTATTTTTAAAATTTCTATTTCTATTAGATACATTTTTTAAAAAATCAAATGTTTTAATAGTAATATCTCCATTAAATTCTGAAAAATAGCTTCCACTAGTTATGAGTGTAAATGTATTTGTTTCAAATTCATATCCTGTTTTTTGTATATTTTCTCTCAAAAACCAATTAATAAATGTACTTTTACCAGAAGAAGAATTTCCTATAACTAAAACACGCACTTTTTTAGATATAGTTTTATTAATGTTTAAAAATAATCCTTTTGATATATTCCTTATATTTAGTTTATCAAATCCTTTATTATTTATAATTATATTACCGTTATATAATTCTTTTATTTCACTTATTATATTATCATAAATATTCAATTTTTCATTTATATTATCAGATAGTTTTTTATTAAAATCCTCTTTTTTATCATTTAACTCTTCTTTAACATTTGTTATATCAGAATTCTCCGAATAAGCAGTAGATTTTTCATTTCTGCATATGTTATTATTTTCTTTATTTTTAAAAAGTTCGGAATGAAAAGTAGTTTCACTAGGCATGCTTTCCATTTTAAATTAAAAAAAATTAAAACAATAAATATTTTTATACATAAAATTTTATTTAAAGATATATTATATGAATTTGCACATACATAATATTTATATAATTAAATTTATGTAAAAACAAAAATCTACATACCTATATATTTATATACACATTTATAATCAATAAATAACTATTTTAATTTAATATATACAGAAATATATTATAATTCAAATTATATTTATTTGTAATTGTAAATTCCTAATTTTTTTTTTTTTTATTCAAAAAACAAAAAGTTTTAAAGAAAAATAGAAAAAAAGTTAAATTAAAATAATGAAAGGGAATTTAAAAATTAATAAAATTAAAAAAAAAAAAAAAAAAAAAAAAAAAAAAAAAAAAAAACACAGAGACAATGTTTATTTTATAATTAATAATTGAATATTTTTTTTTTCTATTTTTTTATGTTAAAAAAAAAAAAATGTATGTAAATAAACAATGGAAATATATAGAAAAATTCACATATTTAAGTGAACAAAATTTACGCATAATTAAAAAGATTGAAAAAAAAATGCAAAAAAAGAATAATGAAACAATATGATAAAATAATAAATAAGTACTGATAAAATTATTATTTTTTTTATAAGATATACTTAGATGAAAAATATATTATATTCATAAATAAAAATAAAACAAGCAGAAATCTAAAAGTTACCATTTGTGAGCATATATATCCATATATATAATTTTTATAAAAGCATGAAATTATACAATGTTTATGAAAATAATTATTCATTGTACATATATGAATAATACATAAATGTATTAGTGTTATAAATAAATTATTATTTTTTTTTTTTTTGTTAAGACATCGTAAATTATGTCATTTATGCTTTTTCATTTTATGTTTGCTATGTTTTTGTTAAAATAAAAATATATTTTTTCTATGTTTAGGTGATACATAAGTCAATTACGTATATAAAAAGAAAAAATGTATATATTAAGAATATAATGAAATATTATAAAATAAAAAAAAATAAATTTATTTTTTAGTAATTTATTTTTATTTTTTTATTCTAATTCATTTTATTAAAAAATGACTTTATTTACATTTTTATCATATTTATTTTTAAAAATAAAAAAAAGGTAAATGTAACTTTTTTTATATACATACTATACAAAAAATTTTACAAAAAAAACCTTATCATTTAAAGAAATATGTACTTTTATACTTTTACATATATAACATTATTTTTTTTTTTTTAAATTGTTTTATTTTAATTTTAAAATATCTCTATAGAATAAGTAAAACAGTATGTTAATTTTTTTTTAAAAAAAAAAACACATATATGTACCAAATTACCATTTACTTTTTTCTGAGAGAAGTTAAGAAAAAAAAAAAAAAAAGTTTATTTTTGTAGATATTAAAAATAATTATTATAAAAGTAAATATTAAAATAAAAAAATTTAAATGCTTTTATAAAAAATGAAATTATATATAAAACCTTATATGTGTCTTTTTTTTTTTTTTTTTTCCATCATCTGTTTTTTCTTTTTGGTATTTATTTAACATCCTTCTTCTTTTTTATAAAAATTCTTTTACAAATAAGTTATATTTGAGTCATCAATCCTAGATAATCTAGATAAAATGAAATAAATAAATAAATAAGAGAAAAAAAGAATAAAAGAATAAGCTTTATACTTATCTAATAGAATTTTACAATCCACTTTTTCATTAATATCTGCAATTCTTTAGAAAAAAAAAAAAAAAAAAGTATAAGAATAAGAATAAAAATGTATTGTATTATAATAAAATTTTATAATAGGAATTTCTTACTTGAAAAATTCTTCGCATTCTTTTTTTTCAAGCTTATTTCCGTAGTTAAATAGAATAAATTCAAGTATATTTTTTGATATAGGAAGATTATCCTAAAGAAAAGTAGAAAAAAAAAAATTATTTTTAATTGTGTTATTTTAACATTAAATATATATTACATTTACATTAATATTTTCATAAATATTTTTTTTTTTTTTTTTTTTTTTTTTTTTTATAAAAAAACTT